ACCTCCATCCCCCACCCACCCCATCCCATCCAGCCACGGCGTGTGTACATTGACCAGGACGACTTGAGGGCAAAGAGGCTGTCGCGCAAGGCGGGGGCCCTCGTGCTGTTTGTGGTGGACGCCAGCGGAAGGTGGGCGGGCACTGTGGGCAGCATCACCTACGCTACTGGACCCCAAGCGCGCCGTGCTTTTTGAGGGTCGTACTGGGTTGATCCAACACATCACGCCCCTGGATTGATCTCAAGACGCACCGCTCTGCCCTGGCGAACGACTTAGCGGGGGTGGGGGTGGACGGCTGTGATCCGCAGTGCAGGGACGGGGTACTGTCGTGGGGGCCGCTTTGTGCGCATGTGTCAACGTGTGTGTCTGGTCTTTCGCTGTCACAATGGCGCCCCAAGCACGCTTTTCACTGCGCGTATGCATGCAGCGGCAACCTGACAGCCCTAGTTGAGCAGTGTCACCCTCGGGCGGAAGGGCATCCCGCTCGTGCCTCCAATGCTTGTCAGCCATACATGCATCCGCCTTGCGTGCGGCGGGCGGCGGCGTTAGGCAGCAAACTGGACGCCAGTACGTCTGCTTGCCGCACATCCACACCACTAATGTATCTCCATGCACCTACGTGCCCCTGGCCGCGTGCGCGCAGCATGGCCATCAACCGCATGGCCGCGGCCAAGGGCGCCTGCCTACAGCTTCTGGGGGAGTCCTACACCTGCAGGGACCAGGTGGGGCCGGCTGACGTGGGAGTGTGATGAGTGCCAAGGTGCATGGCTGGTCCCGCGCGCGTGCTGCCGCCCGTCGTCTATTGCGTGCTGCCGGCGTGAAAATCCAGCTGCGTGTCGGCCGTTTCCTGTACAGTATAACCGCTCACAATCGCCCCCAACTGCCCCCAAACGCCCCAAATGCCCCCAATCAACCTCCTCCTTGATCAGGTGTCCCTCATCCCGTTTTTTGGGGACAAGGCCGAGGTTCTGCTGCCCCCCTCCCGCTCAGTCACCCTCGCGCGGCGCCGCCTGGAGGCGCTGCCCTGCGGCGGCGGCAGCCCCCTGGCTCACGCCCTCAGCCTCGCCATACGCACGGGTGGGGATGACACACCTTCATAGCTATGCACACACGACCCTGCAGGCCATGCCCCTGAAAAAGGGATCCTCGTGTGATGCTTGAATTGACTTGAAGGTGCAGACTGCTTCGTGTCCTGATGGACAGGCATCTGGTTCGCATGCACCAATCAGCAGCAGCATAACCGGCGCGCTGCACCCACTAATCCAAGCGTGCACGTGCGCAACCGCACTCCCGCTGTTCGCCCTTCCCTCCAATCCCAGGCCTGCAGGCAAAGGCGATGGGAGACGTGGGGCGCATCACCGCGGTCCTCATCACTGACGGCCGCGCCAACATAAGCCTCGCCAGGTGGAGCTGAGCGGGGTGGAGTGGGGTTGGGGGGAGCCTCCCCCTTCTTGAGGAAAGGAGGGGTGGCGAGGGATGGTGTTGAAAACCGCACTGGACACCGCCCAACGCTGCATGCTGGGGTGCCCTTGGCGGTGGCTTGCGAGGGGCGCCGGCACCCTCTTTTCCACCCCTCAGCGCATGTCGCCCAGCAGTGCGTCATAATCGTCTAAAGCCCACCCGCACCTGGGACCACGAGATGCCCCTCAGCATCATCACTAACAGGTGCCATGCAGCGCCCCTGGGTACACGGACCCTGATTGCCTGACCGCCAGTCCGCCACAATCCGGCGGTGTGCCTCCCCTGGCAGGTCAAATGACGAGCCCGAGGCGCTGGCGCCCGACGCGCCGCGCCCCTCCTCAGAGCAGCTGCGGGAGGAGGTGGGCAGAACAAATGTAGCGGAGGCGGGGTTGTGTTCTGGCAGGCTGGTGCAGGTCGTACAAGCCCCTCATCAGGCAGTGGGCCGCTCTGTTTGGCCGCCTGGCGACGCTGCGTGCTTGCAAAGACGGCCGTGCCAGCCCGCGTCCGTTGGTCCTTGCGATGTGCGGTCGCCCCGTTTCTAATTATTGGCCCCGCAAACACTCCCGACCTGGGCCCAAAGTCTTATCCCGTGCGCATGCTTTCCTTGTTTCACCTGCATCTTATGCGCGGCTCCAGGTGCTGGACATGGCCAGGAAGATGGCGGCGGCCAACATCAACCTGCTGGTCATCGACACAGAGAACAAGTTTGTGGGCAGCGGTAAGGCTTTGGCATGGGTTTCGGCCTATCGCACTGTTTGCAGTGGCTGCTGCTGATTTGGGGGGGGGGCATGTTGGGCGATAGCGAGCCGCTGGGTCGTGCGGTTGAGCTACTGTTGTTCACTGTCTGCGAGACGTGGCATACATGCATGGGTTATTTGGTGCACTCCGTGGGTGGGTGACGCAAACAGGCACACGCCGGCAATGGGCTCATGGGCAGCAGCGAGGCTGTAGGCCTGGGCTGGCACGCTGACGAGGCCCTGTGGGTAATAGCTATGGAGGCCCACAGGGCCCCGTCGTCGCTCCGGTAATGCAGCCGCGGTGACCGACCTCCCTGCTCTTCCCTCCTGTTTGTCACACCCCACAACGCCCACCCCCGCACCTTTGGTCTATCTGTCAACCGCAAACACCGCCACATTCCTGACAGGCTTTGCCCATGAAATTGCCGAGGCCGCACAGGGCCACTACCACTACCTCCCAAACGCGTCGGATGCCGCCATCGCCGCCGCCGCCAGCCGCCACTTCAAGATGGCCGCGGCGTGATGATGGCACAGGGGGATGTGACGCGGCCGCACGGCAGCACGCCAACATGCTCCCGGCTGATGGATGCGGCAGTGGATGACCGCCTGCTGGCACTGCACGCGTCGCCACTACGCGGCTGCTGGGTCTGGCGCGAAACGGCAGCTGCGGTATGATCCAAACGCTTTGCACGGCTGATGGAATTTTGCACTGAATTGCTACCATACAGTGCAATGTTTGTTGCTGACATGAAGTGCTTTCGTTGTACGTGTGCTGTGATGTAATGTTGATGCCGTTTTTGCGAGAGAGGGCGGCTCTGGCGGTCAGACATCAGTGCATTGACTGAGCCGATGGCGGCACAGCTCCATGCTCTATGCCTATGCATGCATGCTCCCTGGTGAGGTGATATCTCAACCACTTTTCAGCGCCAGGGGCAGCGAGCGCGAAGGACGCAGGGGCGCGGTGGGCGCTGGATGCTTTTGCACCTGCATGCTAGGGCGCTTTGATGCCGCGGCCAGCTGGAACACCACAATTGAGACGATCCGCATTGACCCCATATGCATTTTGTTGTGTGTGATGTCTTGAAAATTGCCGATAACGTCCAGCAAGCCCTCAACGCGATCTTACAGATCAGTCTGATCATACTGTGCCGGGTCACAAACTCCCACGAGGGCTTAGACGGCAATGGCAGCTGCCATGGGCCTCACGGCACCTGGCACGCGCTGCATGTGCTCGCACCGCACACCTGTGCGACCAGCCAAGGCAAGGTTGCAGCAGCTCGCTGCGTTTAGCAGCAAGACAATCCATAACAGCGGTCCGATCGCGGCTCCAGTAGCTCCACAGCCTCAAGGGATAGGATGGCGGGCAGCTAAGCCGCGGGAATCCACCATAGCACGGTCAGGAGCTCCTCCGTTCACGCGTGTCCGGGACGTGGGCCAGCCCTCAGAACTCCAGCGGCTTATCAACAGCATACCCTACCGGAAGCTATGCATATGGAGCTTCGTCGTGCTTCTGACATGGCCACTGCACGAATTCTTTGGGGTGAGGTGGCGCGCCAAGCAGGCAAAGCGGCGCGCGTGCGGTGTGCGCACTCACCCCAGCCGCATGGGGGCGCATGGGAGCCTGCGCCACCAGCCACGCCCAGAAAAACCTTCTGTGGGGTTGGTCTGGACAATCGGGTCGGCCCTTCCTGACTTGCGGCCGCATGCCCGCCCATTGGCGAATCGCGCTTAGCGGCCCTCAGCGTGACGCCTGCAGAGAGTGAGGCGGCGCTCTTGGGCACCTGCCCATATCCAGCGTGATCGGCGGTTATGCCGTGCAGCAGCCGCCGCACAGCGTCCGGCATCCCGCCCAGTGCTGCCTCGTCTGGGTCGAACCCTGCCGGCCCTCAAAGCGAGCCTCTTGCAGCACAACACTCTCGTTCTGGCGGGCTCACGCCCCACAAAGCACGGCCACCCCAATCGCACGGCCGCCCTGCCCAGATCGCCATGGGGACATTCATCGTTTCGTTCATTGGGAACAGCTTCATCGAATACGCGCGCGACACGCAGCCGCTGCGGCTGCTCAGCCCAGACCCTGACAAGCAGCGGCGCATTCTGGTGGTCACCTTCTTCACCATCATCATAGCCTTCATCACGTGAGGCCGCAGCCGCGGCCGCGGCCGCCGCTAACGCGGCCACGAGTTCGCAGCGGTGCCTTCTCAGCTGGGGTCTATGGCTGGCTCTCCCATGGTTCAGCCGGCGATGCGACAAGCGACGTAAACGAGCGCGGCAGCTACAGTGAAGCTCGAGCGGCGGCAGCAACGCGCAGGCCACAAGCGCAATTTGGAAGCGTCTGTTGACTGCCCCGCCCCCACGTGTGCCGCCTGCAGGCTATTTGGGGTGATGACGATCCCGGACATTGCGCGGGAGGGGGCCGACTTTGTCAACCGGCTCAAGAGCGACAACGTCTGGGTGAGGCGGGGAGGCGGTGGCAGCGGTGTGTCTGCGGCGACGGCAGGGGCGATGGGCAGGTGTTGCAGCAGGCATTGCAGCAGTGGGAGCAGCAGCAGCGGGAGCAGCAGCAGCAGCGACAGCCTTTTTGAGGCGACTAGCACGGCGCCTTCACGTGGCCGCGGCCAGACGCCGCACCATGGGCCCGTCGCTCTTCAGGGGTCAGGGCCCCCCCAGCCCTTCCCTCCACGCTTGGCCCCTTTCAACCTGAGAATTCCGGCCTGCGTAGTGGTCGACCTGACAGCCCATGCTTGCTCCACAGCAAAGTCCCCCTGCCTGGGTAGGCTGTTGTTCCCCTCGTTTTGAAGACCAAAAGCCTAACACTCGACACCAAAAACCGTGGGCCAGGTCGTCCTGGTGGAGAAGATGCGGACGGGCCTGGGGGAGCCCGTGATGGAGGCGATTGAGCGTGTGGTGCTGCTGGCCACGGCCAACGACATCACGCGCGCCGCAGTGGACCATGGCCACGTGAGCGGGAGGCGGGGCGCAAAGGGGGCCGCCGGCGAGGCGCGGGGAGGGTTGGTTGGGCCGCGGGCGTGGGGAAATGACAGTGGCGGCCTAGCAGTCACTGAGGTGTGCAGGGACGCCGTGCTCCCTTTGCCGCATGACCCGGCCGCCGCGCCGTGTGCGGCAGCCTGTGCTTTTGTAGCTGGGTTCATGGCAGGGAGCGCGGACGCGCGGGCTGCGTTGTCGGAGCGGGCCCCAGCAACTGCCTCAATGGGGTCTGCTGCGATCCAGATCAAGGAGAGAGAGGCATGAGCCGTGGCTAATCGCCTTGCCTTGTGCACATTGACACCGCAGGAGTGGACTGCGGAGCGCAGTGTGCAGCTGGGTCTGGCTGTGAGCGGCATGCTCAAGGGCTACACCACCACCGCGGCCACCATCATCACCGCCATGCTCAAGAGCGTCACGCGCTTCACCATACAGGTCTGGAGGGGCGGGGGG